AAACGCACCTGTCTGCAACTGAATACACACACTAACATATACATGTGTACACACGCATGCATTAGGTATATCACACACTGAAGTACAACACACACACACACACACACACAGGAACTGCAGCCTCCTCAGAGCTGTGTTTTAATTGAGTCAGCTCAAAGTGCTGGGTGAGCAGAACGATATGTCTGATTCGGATTAGGAGCAGCCTTCCCTTATTCATTGATTTCTACAGGGGTGGGAGGATGGGTGGGGGGCACAATGGAGGGAGGACAGAAAGGGAGCAAAATCTTTTTCTATCGATTTATGGAAGGAGACAAGGACATAGGGAGTGAAAGAAAGACATGGACTGAGAGTAAAAGAAACGTACGGAAGGAGGAAGGTGGGGGTTGTAGAAGAGGGAACCTCCTCCACCGTGTGTATGCGACTGATTCCTTTTTTGCCTTCATTGATTTTAGGAAGGGAGGGGTTTATCAAGACAATTGGGAAGTGGATACAGAAGAAGGATGGAGGTAAATGGGAGAGAGCATGATGAAGAGAGAGTTGCGCAATCAGTGACAGGTGAAAGATGGATGGAAAGGAGAACGGAAGGTGGAGTAAGACAAAATCATCAAGGATATAAGAGGGAAAAAAAATATCTTAACTAAGAGTAAGGGAGGGGGATTTAAAAGTACTCAGAGGAACCCTTTATTTCACTTACGGAGAGTTGGTTAATGAAAGGGAAAGATGAGGTGTGGACAGGGAGAGAGATGGAGGAAGAGAGCATGAAGGGGAGACGCGAGAAAGAGACGGAAAAGGGAGATGACGATGATGATGATGAAGGAGCGGAGAAGAAGACAATAAAAAGCGTTGAAGAGCGAGGAGGAAAAAAGAAAGAGACACTTCACATTTTGGCTAAGTGGTCTCACTGAGGCAGCATGCATCTTCCAAATACTCCATGTCGATCTAAATCCCTTTGAAATCCTTGAAACAGCTGGAGTGAAAAGGATGGGACGTTTGAGCCTGTGTGTGTGTGTCTGTGTGTGCGTGCGTGCGTGCGTGCGTGCGTGCGTGCGTGTGTGTGTAAGACAGGCCAAGAAAGAAAAAACTAAGAAGGAGAGGGAAAGACTGAGCGTGTGTGTCAGTGCTGAAAGTGATGGGGTGGTGTGTTTTATGGGTAAATTGAAGGGTCTGTTGAAAGGAGAGAGATGAGCCCCTCTTACAGTCTGTGTGTCTGTGTAAGTCTGTGTGTGTGCCTGTGCGTGTGTTTGTGACAGTTTCTGTGAGTGTGTGTGTGTCTGCTCCCTCTCCCTTCAGTATCAGTCTCTTCTGCTTGATTTCCGCGCTCTCCTCCTTGCCTCTCCTCTGCTCGCTATGCCGTGAAATGGTTTTTCACTAGACCATTACCCCAACCAGTGTGCTACACTACTGCCACAGTCCTCTGTGAGTGAGAGGGAGTGTGTTGAAATTCTGTGTGTGTGTGTGTGTGTGTGTGTGTGTGTGTGTGTGTGTGTGTGTGTGTGTGTGTGTGTGTGTGTGTGTGTGCGCGCCTGGAGAGAGAGAGGGGTGTGTATTTGGCTGTGTGTGTGTGTGTGTGAACTGTAGCTGCACTAGAAAGATAAAGATTGTGCATGTCTTGTTTATGTGTGGGGAAAATGGATTGTGTGCACATGTTGGTACGTGTGTGCATGTAACTCTGAGTGTGTGTGTGTGTGTGTGTGTGTGTGAGTGAGTGAGTGAGTGAGTGAGTGTACATGTGTGTGTTCGTGTGAGAGGGGAAAAAAAGAGAGGGTGTGTACAGTATGTCCCACACAAGCTCAGCTGTACTGTACTCCTGTCACAGTTGTGAATGCGGAGAGTCTACTTACTAACATCTAATATCTCTCTCTCTTCACACACACACACACACACACACACACACACACAGAGCTACAGGCAGACTAACACAGGCAGCTGTAGTTGTAGTCGGCAAGTCATTCAACTCACAAACAACCTGGCTCTGGTTGAATGGTTTTTGGGATCGTCATTCTTTCAGCTATAAGGATCTTTCTCAGTAGAACCGTATGTATTTTGTTACCTTGGCCTAAAAAGTTCTTTCACAGTGCACAATATACACACAAGCTAAATTCACTGGAATATATCATTTGAAATTACGGTGAGATGCTCAGTGTTGTGCACACCAGGTTTTTTTGTGAATCAAACACTATTTATATATCTGTTATATTTATTCCAAACTAATGTTGCTGCATCTATAAAAACAGAAATGTAACAAATCTGTATCACACAGGCACACACACTGATATGTTACTTTATTAGGAAGGGAACAAGCTTATTTGTTGTCACTAATTTCTATCAAATTGATACCATGCTGTCATGCTTCACCATACACCATTGTGGTTGTGCATGTGCATACATATACATATATACATATATATATATATATATATATATATTGCTCTCCATACACTTCCTCACTTCCTATGCACACATGCACATTCACTGGATGTTCATCTGTCTGTGTTTACTCAGCATGGTGCATCACACAGTAATCTGCTCTTGATCCATGTGTATATATGGAAACAAACAAAGACTCATACACTTAAGCTGAGGAGCACCCAACCACACAGTGTCTGTGCTGGAACAGGGGGTCAGGGTCACGATCCACAGCCTTTTAAAGGATGAGGCTAGAGATGCTTTATATTTTTATAATTTTTTCTCATTGACAATGAATCCTATGAAAAGACCAAAACCTACTATCAATTGATACAGCTAACAAGTATTGACCCTGTGGCCGACGCCTAATAGGTTTTATACCTCTGTGCCATAGAACTCCATTGTTGTCCAAAAATGAATGAAAACACATAAATGTGCAGCGGGAGACATGTTCTTTTATTACAATGAACACGGGCACTGTGGTCTAATGCCACATATACAGAAATGTGTATTCATCGGCCAAAAATAGTCCTCAACAAATGCGCTATTTACTCTTGAGTGATGTTTGCAGCTGTTAAATTACAGTAAGTAAATTACTGAGCCTTTTTAAAAAATTAAACTATGTATTTGTGGGGTTTCTTTACAATAGATAAAATACAGACGGTTCTGTCAAAACTATTTTAACTGCATTCCCTCTTTCATTCATTGTCTCTTCACCCCCTCCATTCATTACTCTTTACTTTCTCTTCACCCCCCTTAGTCATCTCTCTCTCTTCTCCGTCACCACCAGATGTTGCATTCATTCCTCTTCTCACCTCTCTCGCTATCTCCAGTTCCCACTTTTAACATCTTGTTTAAATCCTGTCGCTAATGTCCCCTTTCACCCCCCCACTCTGCCGTCTCCATCTTCACCCCATTCACTCCCTTGTTTTATAATTCACCTCTCATCTCGTCTCTCTCCCTGCCACTTCTGAATGTCTTCGTAATATCCCTCCTCCCCTCTATATCTCCCTCACCAGCTCTCCTCAACTCATTTACTTCTCATTCGCTCTATCTCTCTTTCCTCCTTTCTTCCCCATCTAATGCCTTTTCATTCTTTCGCTCCACCTCTCTGTTCCCCTCCTAATATCCCGCTGTCTCTCTACCTGAGATATTGGAGCTATAAAGACAGGTGTTCAAAAGAAAGCAGGACCAGCAAATCTGTTTTATGTGCCTCCTGGCATCTTTCCCTAGAATGCAGAGAGAAGAGGAAAAGAGAAGCAGGGAGAGAAGAAAAGCTGTGGTCTGTGATATCTAATTCTCAGCACCTTTCGCATTGACAGTATTGCCTTGAGTTGAGGAGAGAAGAAGAACCTAGTTTTCTATAAAACCTTCAACCTTTTGTCTTCACCACTTGGGACACACGCATACACCTCACCCTCTTTCCATTATGCACTTTTGGATCTAAGATCAACTCTTTTTCCACCATGTGGGAACATGCAGTACACCTTGCTTTTAAAGGACATTATGGAAAAGTGTGCAGATGGCATACAGTAATGTCCCATTGAAGATACAACAATGTACTTTAAGAAACGGTTATGTGTTATGCAATTTTATCAGATGGAGATGTGTATGATGAAAAAAGAAAAAACACAATTTTACAGTGGCAAAGGTGTTATGGGCTAAATTTGATGGGCTATTTTCAGAGACTCAGCATCACATAGACCCTGAAGGGACTGTGTAATGCAGCATGTAAGTTATTTTTATTAGCAGAGTTCAGCAGAGTTACAACAGTCACCCTGAGTCATATATCCCACTCTCTCACCCCACATCATATTAAAATGAGTCTCATTTACAATATTAAGTGTGTCTTACAAAGAAAATGGCATGTGTGTGTGTGTGTGTGTGTGTTTGTTTGTATTTGTTGAGGTTGTCGTTTGGGGTTTAGTCGGGGTCTTTAAGGAGCGCCGCAGCAGCTGGAATCTCCCTACTGAATAGACTGGGATAATCTCTGAGAGAGAGACAGAGAGTGTGTGTGAGAGAGAGAGAGACAGGAAAAGAGAGGAGTGGGAATAAGCGGAGGAAGAGAAAACTAGATGTGAGGGTGAGAGAGAGAGAGAGAACCAGTGAGATGAAGAGTAAGAGAGGACACGCGAGAGATTGAACTGTCAGCAGCTTGACTTAATCTTTTTTTTATTTTTTTTCCTCAAGATGGAGATGAGACGTGACTCTGTGTATGTGTGTCTCTGTTTGTGTGTGTGTGTGTATTTAAGTGAGACGACTCCATCCTGTTTTGAAGTAACCTAATCTAGGATGGAGACCCCCCCCCCCCACAAAACCCCTCAGAAGACCGAAACTCTAACTCTAAATCCCTAATAACTAGCCTTTGTCAATCCTAAATTACCCCTGTATCACAAACACACACACACACACACACACACACACACACACAGAAAATTAGGGCCTTATGGGTGCGCCTTGCACACACTGAGGCTCACAGTATTTCAGTTTATCAGTATTTGAGGCAGGGAAACATATAATTTGGGCTTTTACTTAAAAATATCAAAACTTTATGATTTTTAAGCACAAACTAACCAGTTGTGTCTCTTCACTAGATGCCAGGCAGAGGGACAGATCCACGGTTGGCACCACGTTATGAAGAGGTGGAACGTCAGTATGCCTCCTTACCAAGGTACTGCTTCTCCTCCTTCCCTTTCATAAGGATCTCTTCTCTTCTCTTCTCTTCTCTTCTCTTCTCTTCTCTTCTCTTCTCTTCTCTTCTCTTCTCTTTGAAGCCTCTAATTAAATCTGCACAGTCTTTCTCGTCTGTCTGTGTGTCTCTGGTGGCCTCTGTCTCAGACAGGAACTCACCTTATCCTCTCCCTGGGGAAGACACACTCATACAGGGGTTGAAAACTGATCCCTGACTCCTGGTTCTGCTCCCCCACCAAAACCTTACTTTGGCTTTTGCACAATCAGTAGTTTTGAAAGTCATCATGAGTGTCTTATCTGATGGTTTTTTGTCTCCAACTTCAGACATCTGCTGTTATACTGAGGCTGCAAATTTAATCAAAGTCTTTAATTTTGGCAGCAGTTTTTTCTTTGTTGTAGGAAAAATTGACACACAATTTCCAGCACCTCACTCTCACACAAATGATGTAGACATTATTACAGGATAAACACCTCATCATGGATTTATTGGCATTAGTGCATGTATTGCAACTTGTTTTCTGCTTTACGAATCAGAAACTAAATGAGCTGATGTCATTTAGACACAGATTTTCAGTTGGTTTTTGGTGCTCTGCAGTCCGGTTAGTTTCATACTAGATGATGGTATTTGATAATATAAAATTGTTGGGCAAATTGGGAGGAGGTGCATTTTTTTTTTAACTCAGGAAATATCATTGCCATACACTTTGCTAATGTATACCATATTAGTTAGGATGCCGGGGAGACAGCTGTGGTCAGATTGGACAGTCCAGCAGGGAAACATAACCACTCGACTAACTCTGTGACCCGTGCCGTAGCCCACTGCCCAATGCATTTAGTTGTTTTTCCCCTAGACAGCATGAAATATCACCAACATTAGCCAACACAGGAACAATAACAGCTTCCTGAGTATACTAATCAATTGCTAAAGGATTCTTTCCATTTGTCTCATGATGGCTTCTCTGATGTAGTCAGACAGATATTCTGTCCCTGAATGGCCACAGTTGTGTAATACGTTTATTTAAAGATTCCTTGAAACCACAGCTGTTCACTGACCATTGAAACATGTTAACCCTCAACATCAAAAACATACTTTATTCTCCAGCCATCATCACAAATCCATGGTTCTTCATTAGCAACATCACCACATTCACCACCTGAAAGGCCTCGACTCTCTTGTAATTCCTTCTCTCCGCCTTTTCCTTCTCACCCATGTCATCTTTTTTTTTGTCTTCATTATTTCTCTTAATGAATTTAACTACTTTAACTCATTCAAACTCATTCAATAAATGTATTCAAGTTACAGTAAAAGCCACCAGCTCTTTCTCACCTCATTTTGTTTTGCTTTTAACTACCAACACCTCAGCAGACTAACAAGCTAACAACAAATGTTTGGTTGTTTGTGTGTGTATGTGTGTGAGAGAGAGAGAGAGAGAGAGAGAGAGAGAGAGAGAGATAGGAAGTCAGTGAGTGGAATGACAGACAGAAGTTTTGAACGTTAGAAAGTTTATAGTCAGGTTCCCACCCCTGTTAAAATGCTGAGGGATGGCTATTTCACACCTCTTTCGTGCATGTGCATGTGTGCGTGCATGTGAGAGAGTGCGTGTGTGCGTGTGTGTGTGTGTGTGAGAGAGAGAGAGAGAGAGAGAGAGAGAGTATGTCTGTGTGTGGGTGATGAGTTTGGCAGATGGGAGCGAGAACAGTGATGATAGTTTTGAGGTCTGGCTGTGGTATCTGAAAAGCCTTGGGAAATTGGACACACACACACACTCACATACAGTACACCCTGTCTCTGTTTCCACTTTCAGACATGCACTTTAATCCGTAAATGCTGTGCCAATTTTACATGTAGGCCTCATGTTTGAAAAGGGCCCCGAGTCATTTTTCCATAAAGGTTACTCTGGCAGTCCTTCTGACCTGGTAACAGTTCTGAAACATTTTCTACATGTCTGAAGTGTGATTTAAAACAGTCACGTGACCAGTAATACAGCTTTCTTACATATGACATTTTTGCATATACCATACAAATGAAAACTAGGGAGTAATGCTTTAACTTTCAAGCAGCAGATTTGACTCTGAAGAGACACTTTCCCATGTTACACGGGCTAAATTATTTTTTGTAATTAAAAAAAGAAAAATTGCTGTAAATTGGATGCTAAACATGATGTGAGCATTGCACTTCAGCCCATAACAGCCTCTCATGAAAGTTTTCCACAATGAACACATCAATCTGAAAGCCAAAAAGCTGTTAGTAAATACACAGATTAACCCAGAAATGTTTTCCTTTTCACAGATTTTATGTCTGAATGAGACTCATCTCTCTCCCTCTCTCTCTCCTTCTGCCTCTGCATCTCTGGCTCCTGTCTCTCCCCTGCTGTCAATTAACTCCAGAGATATTTCAGTGTCTAAAGAGTCAAGCGAAAGATCATGTTTGGAAACCACATCCAGGCTGTTGACCTTATGAAAACATATTATTTCTCCACTAGCCCAGAAATAGCTGGCAGGCTGTGTGTATCTAGTGTCTGCATGCCTGTATACCTGTATATGCGAGTGCGGGAGGGGCCAGGTTTGTGTATGTGCATGTGTGTATGTGTGAGTTTGTGTTCATATTATTTCCAAGTGAGTCCAGAAATAGCTGTAGGGCTGCTTAGTCAGGTACTGTATGTTTGACTCAAAATCAGTTAACTGGAGCACTGGGATCAATGTGCAAATGTGTGTGTGTCTGTGGTTGCGGGTGCGTGCTATCACTGTGAGACGAGGTTTTGATGGCTCTAAAATTAAAACATGACCCAGTAGAAGCGGATGATGTTTGCCTGCCTAAAGGAGAAGCACTTTACCTAACATACTGTCAGCAAATGTCACTGCGTGAACTAGAGAGGAGTCTGCTCAGGGTGTATCGTGTATTTTGCTTCCCCATAAAATAATTCAGTGTTTAGGAAATGTGATGTATTAGAAACAGATACAAAGGTACTTGAGTAATTTCTTCTTTTGCCAAAGTACATGTTTTTAAATCTCACAACCTACTACTGCTTCCAAGGGCATAGGTTTGGTCTCAACATTGGTAGGGACACAAACCTGCCACCCCTCCAAATAAAAGGGGATTTTTCTTAAGATCTGTATTTACATTTAAATAAAAACTATACACAGTAACAGAGCAATGACTAAAAGTAAACTTTAGGAAATTACTTAACAGAAAAGAGAAAAAACAAACAATATTCTTTGCATTTTTGCATCCAACATCAACATATTCAGTAGGCCAACCAGTGTTGCAGTTCACCCTTTGCCTCTTGATTTCGCATTTTAAACTAGCTCCACCTTGACCAGCTACAACAGTAAAGTGCTGCCAATCCAGTGATCCATCAATATGAACAATTAAATAATGTAAGGCTGGCGATGTTAGCCAGCTAGCAGGTTTTCATTTTAAATCTATGTGGCTACTAGATAGTTAGATTACTACCTACTTACACTCCGGGTAGTGAAAAAGCTCCTGATGTCTCTTTTTTGGAGGCATGATATCTACAAGTACAAAACATGTTATGTGTGCTGAGCAGTTCAAGCCTGTGTTTGAGGTATGGACTTACAGCGCTGATAACTTACCGTTGTTAGTATCTCAGTGTCTGGCATTAAGTGCAATATTTGTTCATGATTTGAGCCACTGGATAGTTCCCACCCTACCAGCCAATCAAATGCTAGCATGCGTCAATCAGTCATCTTGGAGACGTAGCCTCTGGGGCTGCACATTGGAATTATCACATCGGAATGACACAGGGTGAACAAGTTAAAAATCACTCAAATATTGGTCGGGATGTGTCCCTACTGTCCATATGCAAACCTACGCCCATGACTTCTACTAGTATATCTAAAACAGTCTTACAGATAAACCCAGGTTTCGTGTTATCTAATGGTAAATATTCATGCACTTTATCTTGGAGCATTTTTCTCCAGGTGATCTCAGTCCATCACCAGCTTGTAACCCATTTGAACATTCAGTACTTCACCCGCTCATATATTCTCGACTTAATGATCTGTGCTCAAAATGCAGAAAATAGCACCCTTAACTCTCTTACTCTTTTAAAGTATTTTTCTCTTAAGAGCTGAGAGGTGTGGGTTTTCATGCAAAAGGAACGTTGACAACACAGCAAAGGAAGGAGGAGAAAACACAACACCGCATGTCCTTTCACTTCAAATCCTCCCAAGGTCTCCTCTCACTGCCATTTTCTTAAAATTACCCATCCGTCCGCGCCCCCCCCCCCCCCCCCCCCCCCCCACACACACACACACACCACAGCACTCCGGTAGATATGGGCTCCGAACAAAGTCAACACACCTCTGACCAGGCCATCGCGGAATCTACAGAACAGTCGAGATACCTTCGACGACCTGCACCCTACGGCGCATCGCCGCATGGCAGCCGCTTACGCCTGGTCACCATCGCCAACCCACACACACACACAACCCCCCTCATCTCACCTTCTCTTTGTATTTCACCATTTTCCTTCCATCTCACTTTCTCTCAGTGGTGTTATTATATCAAAACAAGGGACCCAGCTGAGAGTGAGCAAAGTGTCACTGTACCTCTGCCCATGTGACAGCCACTTAGAATTTTAAATATTCAAACACATTAATTCTGGTTCGTTTAGGACCAAGATTGGAATTTACATGTATGTGCTTTAAGAGCAGGCGTATGATAAAGCTGCACACTTTTTGCACACTTTTTCAGTTTCAATTAGATTAGAGTGCACAAAGACCTGAAACAAAGAGAGAGAGGGAGAGGGAGGTGTATGACATTCAGAAAACATTCCTGGCTGGAATCAAACCCAGACATTTGCGGTTACATGGCATGAAACTGCTCTCTAATTTTGGGTTAATGTTTGAGAGTGAATGTACATCTGTTTGACATAAATTCAATGATTTGTATGCACACATGCCTATTACTGTGGTTGGGTGGGTGGGTGTGCACCTGTGTGTGCGGGTTTCAGTCAT